ACACGCCCTGCCCGCTCATATGGCTCAGCCCAACCTCCGGGGTGAGGTGGGAAGAAGGAGGAGCCCAGGTCATGGCGGTGGCCTTGGCAAGGTCCTGCTCTGTGACACCCCGACGAGGAGCCAGACCCCCCGCCAACGAGGTCAATGGCAATTGAGCCCATTTGCTCCAGCACCCACCAACGTCCAGCAAGCCGCGACGACACGCCATGAACGAGCTGGAAAAAGGACGTGGAGGACATACACGTGGTGGGATGATTTCTGAGCCAGGCTCTCCAATCCTCACTTGAACACGGTGTCAAGAGGGTGCCGTCATCAAGCTCTCCAACCATGCGAAGGTCTGGAAAGCCCTTCTCCTGCACCACGGTGAAAGTCACCCCAGGCGACTCCCAGCAATTCGGCGGCCCGATTTCACCTCCATTCCCATCCTCCCTGGTGGCACGGAGAAAGGAGAAGGCTTCTTGCCAAAGAGCCGCGCGAAGGGCTCGTTGCAGCGCTGCACTACCAGCCCCGGGCACAGCATCCATCCCAAAGGCTACACCACGCCCTGCATCCCCCCAAAATCCTTCCTGCCCTCCTCTCCGGTCAGCGCAGCCACGTGTGCTGCAGGTGCGAGCCCAGGAGCCCAGCTGCGGTTTTTGGCTACTAGGCTGTTGGGTGGCCTTCCCAATTCCACCACGTGAAGATGCCACGGATCGGTGTGGCCTCTCAGTTCCCGCTGCAGACCCACGTCAGTCGCTGCGTTACTTGAATTTGTTCGAGGAAGAAAAAAAGAGGAGGATGGTGTGGGGGAAATCACTATTCTGCTGAGCACACCGGGCCCATTATTTGTTCCTGATTTATTTATTATCTGCAGGGCTGCTGTTTAAACCGGCCTGGCCTGGTTCTTGTTCTAAGTTTAACCCCCGGGAGACTCTGAAGAACGGCTGATGCGCCCCATGCGGCACAGCACCCCACGGAAGGAGAGGGAAGGTGCCTTACGGAGCCCAAGGTGGTGAACCTGCGAGGTAGGTAACGTGATTACGATCTGAACAGGAGGATTTACTGGAATGGGTTTCAAAGATGCTTTTCTCTTTCTTTTCTGTATGAAAGTGATGAAATGGCAACAGCGAAAGACCGCTGTGATCGGCGATGGCCGATTCCTTGTGCGAGTGTTCAAGGCACGAGCAGAGCCTGCCCGGTGCTTTTTGGAGAAAGGCACAGCGTTACTCTGGGATTCCAGAGCTTTATCAGTGGCTTTTTTGCAGTCCTCTGAGTGGCTCCAAGACCCATGCTGGTCCTCCCAGAGACATCTGAAGTCAAAATTCATCTCAGAAGCAGAAATGCTAAGGACACAACCAAAAAAACCTCACCAAGCAGGGCAGATATTCACAGCCCTGAGTGAGCTGGCTGCCAGGAAACCACGGGCGGGCTCAACGGGACACAGATGATGGATTTTGTCATCTGCTTCTGTGCTGTCCCTTGCTTGAAGGCACATCAGGTGAGTGCGTCACGAGCCCTTTCTTCTCAGCCCCCACAGAGGCTGGGATTGTCAACCCAAAGAGCCGCGGCCGTGTCAGAGGTGCCACATCCACGGCCACGCCACGGGGCAGTCCAAGAGGATTGCACCGAGGGCTGGAGGGGAGACCTCTCATGCACAGCCGGGCCACCAACCCGTCACCACCCTCCGCAGGCTCACCAAAGGCACCGCCCTGGAAGGGGGAAAGAAAAAAAAACCCATAGAGCTTGAGACACGAAGGACAGTTGCTCCTGAGTGACAAATAAATAGCAGGTTTGCCAGAAGAAAGCCCTTTGGAATCCAGTCCATCGCCCCAGTGCTGCCAGGAGCCTCGTCACGAGATCAGTCTGTAATTATAACGCCTTTTTTTTTTTTTAATGAGATTTTTTTAAAAACCAAAAACAGCTGGGGACA